TGTAGCATTTCTCTTATCAGACTTCATGAAATGTGTTCATACTGGTATAGAAATGACCATTACATGCTTTTCTTTCTTGGTAAAAACACATCTTTTGAAAATCATTACATAACAATATATAAGGTACAATTTTGATTTGGAAATCATAGTATAGGAACTTATGATTATGAGATTCAAACAGTAAAAAAATGAATACCACATCAATAACGCCACACAATTTAAAAAATGTAAACAAGTGTTCATCAATAGGAATTTGTTTAAATTATATACATATTTCCATAATAACATGGGACCATTAAAATGATGGCAAGGACATGTAATGGGACAAGAACATGTGTGGGCTTTGTGAAATCAGATTGTGGCATTCATAGTATAATGATTCATAAATGTGTGTATGTGAATACGTGGAAAGGGATTCTTATTAATGGTCTTCTGTGGCAAGGAGTTTTTGGTGGTATTTTCTGTTTTGTAATTCCATTATGTGTTTTATTTTCTCAGTGAGCATCAATTTTATCAAACTGGTAAATTATGTGCAGTAGAGTTTGAAAAGTTATTAACATGAATCCTTTTACAGTTAAAGAGTCCTAATAAGATTCCACTACATTATCATATGACGTAGAAGATCAAAATTAAGGACTAGGACTCAGTATTTAAAAACGAAATTTTCTGATTGTTTGAATATAAATTAATGAGTGTGATCAACTACCATTATAGTTAACGTGTGGCGCATCTTTAGGGATAAGCTAGGAAGTAGGCAAATACTGGAGATAGAAACAAAGTGGGGATACCTATGTTGTGGAGGTTTAAAATCAATAATGCTACACAATTTTTAAAGTTCTTAAATTTTTAAGATTCTTTGAAGAAAAGATGTGCACAAGTATGGAACATAGTGGAGCCTATAAGGAGAAAGAGCAGCTTTAGATGCCATTCCGTACTTCTTGGACACCATGTTGATATTTTAAGTGTATTAGGTTAAAGGACTTTACTTAGTAAAGTTTTATCTAATAAAGATAAATTCGTTTTCAAAATTTTCTGAACTACATCGTCACTGACTTCTCTGTACTTACTAAGATCCATGCTATCTCAATTGCATAGTGATTTGGGAGGCTTTAAAACCACCTTCAGGTTCTGTGATTTGCTTGGATGACTCAGAATCTAGTTGGATTTAGAACTATATTACACTGAAAGGATACGAAGCAAAATAAGTGAAGGGAAAAGTTAATGGGAGCTGTCTGGAGGAAAACAGGTGTAAGCTTCCAAGCGTCCACTCATCATGGTATTACATAGGACTCACTTAACTGCTCCAGTACTGAATTTTGGCCACGTGTGAAATGTCTACATTAGAAACCAGTACTTATTGGGGGCTGGTCATGTGAGCACCATCTGTTTAGCATGTACCAAAATTCCAGTCTTCAGTAAGGAAAGTGGACATTCAGAATAAACCACGTTGTACAGTTTTAGGCACAGTGCACAGTTATGGAATGGTGGAAACTCCCCAAAATCCTGGTTTTTGACACTAGCCAAAGTCCAGCCTTACAAGCACGCCTTTTTAAGGATCATAGTCTCAGGACTGCTGTACTATTAGGTTGATGCAAACGTAATTGCAGTTTTGGCATTGTTGAAATTTGCCTTTGATATTGGAATACATTCTTAAATAAATGTGGTTATGTTATACATCATTTTAGTGCACATTTCTCACTTTATGTTTTTTTGCTAATGACATTACTTGCTGTTTATTTTATATGCATTTTAGATTATAGAAATGATGTTAGACAAAAAGCAAATTTGAGCAATTTTCTTATTCAAGTTCAAAATGGATCGTAAAGCAGTGGAGACAACTCACTCATCAACTCATTGCCCAGGAACTGTTAACAAATGTACAGTGCAGTGGTGGTTCAAGAAGTTTTGCAAAGGAGACGAGAGCCTTGAAGATTAGGAACATAGTGGCTGGTCATAGGAAGTTGACAATGACCAATTGAGAGCAATCATCGAAGCTGTTCCTCTTACAACTACACGAGAAGTTGCTGAATAACTCAACTTTGGCCATTCCACGGTCGTTTGGCATTTGAAGCAAATTGGAAAGGTGAAAACGTTCAATAAGTGGGTGCCTCATGAGCTGACCACAAATCAGAAAAATTATCGTTTTGAAGTCATCTCTTATTCTACGCAACAACAACAAACCATTTCTCGATCGCATTGTGACGTGCGAAAAAAGTGGATTGTGTACAACAATCAGCGATGACCAACTCAGTGGATGGACCTAGAAGAAGCTCCAAAGCACTTCCCAAAGCCAAACTTGCACCAAAAAAGGGCCATGGTCACTGTTTGGTGGTCTGCTGTCGGTCTGACCCACTATAGTTTTCTGAATCCCGGTGAAACCACTACATCTGAGAAGTATGCTCAGCAAATCAATGAGATGCACCAAAAAATGGAACACCTGCAGCCAGCATTGGTCAACAGAAAGGGACCAATTCTTCACGACAACGCCCGACCACACGTTGTACAACCAACACTTCAAAAGTTGAACGAATTGGGCTACAAAGTTTTGCCTCATCCACTGTATTCACCTCACCTCTTGCCAACCGGCTACCACTTCTTCAAGTATCTCGACAACTTTTTCCACAACTAGCAGGATGCAGAAAATGCTTTCCAGGAGTTCGTCGAATCCCGAAGCACGGATTTTTATGCTACAGGAATAACCAAACTTATTTCTCAGCCAAAATGTGTTGATTGTAATGGTTCCTGTTGTGATTAATAAAGATGTGTTTGAGCGTAGTTATAACAATTTAAAATTCATGATACAAAATCGCAATTACTTTTGCACCAACCTAATAACATTCCTGTGCACGTGGTATCGGAAATGGCCTGTAGCCTTCTTTTTGGTTTTTTTCTTGGCATTTGTCACCAAATACTGGAATGTCATCTCTCAAAGGTAATTGTAACAAATCTCACCATATTAAACCCAAGGGCTTGTCTCCTGAAACTGAAAAGACTACAGGTAGGGCTTACACCTAACCTGCATGGCAGGGGTCCTGAAGGTGGTCACAAGACAATGGTAACACCTGGGACAAGCTGGTTCATGTTGTTCATGCTCACTTCTCCCAAAGTCCACGAGGCCTAGACCCCCAACCGAGTCAATAGTAAATTGCTAGCTCTGTATCTAGTTTCCTGAACCTTTGTGGGGCCATTCAGTTTCAGCTCCTATTTGTCACCATGCACTTCCCTTTTGTGGACCCTAGGGATTTCCCTATCTTAACTCTGAACATGGCTACATTTTGGGGGGATTGTTAGAGAACATTGTCATTTCTCTGTTTGAAAAAGTAGAGAGGTTTCCCAAGTTATTAAAGTTGAACCACACTGATAGCATGTCCATTTAAAGATTTGAATCCAATACAGTATCTCCTGTTTATTTGACACACTGACTAATGAGCCTCAGAACCTCTGTCTTGGTCATCTAGAGTTGACATTTTGTTACATATGCCATGTCTTAGGACAAATACTTAATTCTTGAGAGGGTTTTAAAAATATTTTTCAAAATAGAAATACTTTCACATTCTTTTACTTATTGGACATTGAAAACAAGCACATTAGTGGGTGGGGAAAAAAAAGAAAACATTAGTTCAGCGTTGCTGTGCAGCTGTCTGACCCCCCGCGCTTAACCCTAAACTGACCCTTTTGAGGACAGTGCTCATACACCTTGCGTCTCCCTGTTTGGCTTCAAAGGATGGCCGGTTAGTCAATGACGGGTAGGATTCCTCGTGGGAGGAACAACTTAAGACAGGCACGGTCGGGTGGAGGTCATTAGGAGAAATCTCGAGGCTGATGGAGGTGGGCGTGAGCTCTCACTCGCCCACCAAAAAGACTGGAGGTTTTCTACCTCTGGGGGGCGAGTGAGGGCTCATGCCCACCTCTGTGAGCCCCAAGATTTCTCCTAATGGCCTCCACCCGACCGTGCCTGTCTTAGGTTGTTCCTCCCACGAGGAATCCTACCCGTCATTGACTAACCGGCCATCCTTTGGAGCCAAACAGGGAGACGGAAGGTGTATGAGCAGTGTCCTCATAAGGATCAGTTTAGGGTTAAGCGTGGGGGGTCAGACAGCTGCACAGCTGCGCGGCAACAGTTCCCCAATAAAATTTTTTTAAAAATAAGATATTTTAACCAGAAAATATAAAGGAAAAAAAAATACTAAAACATGCTATCTCACTTACAGACTCCTCCTCAGATCTCTGGCATTGAATCTCATAGGCTTTGAGAGTCAGAATGACTCCTATTTCAAGCTCTTCAGCCGTTATGCTTGCTTTGAGATAGTGGACAAAATTCTTAACTTCTCTGAAATGTGTTTTCATCTGGACAATAACTGTAATGAAAAGTTTAAATCAGGGCAGAGCTCTTTTCCACGAGGACAAGCTTCCAGTTTGGCCCTCTCAAGTAGTTCTTCCTACCAAACCAGTGGTGCCACAGGGTCCCGAATATGGGCTGGTACCTTCTTCATTCTTCATCAAATCATTCTCCCTCGCCCATTCTTTAAACTCTCAGTTTTAGCCTATTATACTAATCATTATCCTTTCAATCATCTAGAGTCCCCTTGATAGTCATTCCCGGTTAACTTCTTGAAGATTGTGTCCTCTCACTTGTGCCCCTTCCAACAATACTCCTATCATAGTTGGACGCATGTCGTCTTCAGGAAGTCATGTCTTTGGAATATTTTTGCTGGAGAACTCAAGGAAAGATAGAGTCGACTCTCAGTGTAGGAATCCACACTCCTACCCATGAAATAGAGACTGTGACACTCTCTGCTCTGGCAATCTGGGAAGTGTAGTCAAGGAGCTTCCGGTAGCCACAACACCTTCCCGGAGATTAAAACTATACGTAAAGGTTTTCCCTTGGACCTTCGGGAAGTGTAGTCCAGACGCCGTATTGTAGTCGCGGGCACTTCCGCTCAGGAAGGCGGATCTGGTGAGTTCTGGGAAGTGTAGTCCAGAAGCTCCGTGGACTCGGAGGCACTTCCGTTCCCGGAGTGTGAGGTTGCCTTAGTATTTTCCGTGGGAGTGGAGCGTCGGTTCCAGGTCTCCTGGCTCTTTCCGAACTTCCTGGCTGTATACTTGGGACCCGCAACGACCCGGCGGCCGAATGAGGGAAAAAGAAGCCTTGCGGAGAACGCAGGTATCGAGGGACGAGGTCGGCGGTGCCTTCTGTGTTTGGGGCAGTTCTCATGTCCCCGCGTCGGACGGGCTCGGGTCGCCTGTCGCCTGGTTTGAGAGTTCCCGGGTCTCTCAGCTCGTGGGGAGTTAATCTCCCTGTGCCTGCTTTCAGTCTTATTTAAAATGGAGATTTAGGACCTTCCTAATAGAATTGTTTTGGGAATTGAAAGAGGTGGTACACATATAAATCTTAAAAAGTGTTGTTGGCACGTGATGAACGGTGATGTCTTTCATAATTTCCCGGGAAGCGGTCAGGTCTCTCTCTCTCTCGGCGTCACGATCATGGCATTTCATAGCATTCTTTCTTTCCCCAGCTTGACTTCTCAAAGAGGACTGCACCGAGGTAGAGAGTGACTTGTTGGCTACTGACAGCAAAGCTCCACTGAGTGGGACTTGGCGTTTTCCTTTTACAACAGTGCACATAAAACGGACTATGCGTGGGATGTGTAATCGGGCATGGGTACTGGTGATAATTAATCCTTAACTGCTAACTTCGATGATGAGGGCTTTATACAAATAAATACGTTATGCCACACCGTGGCTCTGTGAGGAAATACTACTTTTTTCTTATTCTATAAATTGAGATCGCGCCCCAGGGAGCATAAGTTATTTGCCCATAGTCACCCACCACATAAGAGGCTGACCTGCGGTTGGAATTTAAGCAGTCTGAGTCCAGAGTTTGAGTTCATAATCTCATGGATATATTCTCCTTAAACCATAGAAACTAGCTGGAATCAGGCCAGGGAGTTAGGACTTGACTGTGGGGGACCTTAAAAGCAAAGGCTTGGACTTTTCTATGATTTTTTAAAATCATAGAAACTGTTTAAAATCATGTCAACTGTTTTGTTTCATTTATTACAAAAAATATATATATTTCTTGTAGAACCATATCATTGTGGCACTTTCAGAAATTACAGAAATATGAAAAAAAAAAAGTAATTACCCATTCATCCAGGATGTAAAGATAGCAACTGTTAAGCTTCTAATGCATTGCAGTTTAGTGATTCTTTGTGTATATTTGTATATTTCTTTATAAACATTTTATAGATCTTTTATCATACTTTTCTTAATGCTTTTCCCCTTGACGTGTTTTAACAATAGAAATTTCCAAACTGCCAAGGAAGAATAAACTAATGAACTGCCATATAATTTTATGATCATCCTTATTATTCTCATTAATATTATTATTCCTAAGACTGTTTTCTGATTTTTAAAAACTTTTTAAATAATTTTAAACCTTGAGAAAAGTCACAAAAATAGTATCGGGAATTCTCATATACTCTCTACTCAAATTGTTTACGTTTTGTCTCTATGCTTTGTGGCTCCATCAGCCAAATAACACCAGGAATTTAACTGTATTTAATGACAGCTTATTTTAGCTTTCTGCAGGAAGGAAGCCCACATACTATGGGTAATCGGGAGGTGTCTTGGTAAGAGGGATTTAGGAGAGGTTGATTATAAGATTTTAGCATCACGTACTTGGTAATATTAGACATTATTCTAGATAATAGTGTTATATATTAGATAATGCCAGAAAACATATTAGATAACATAGTGTTATATAACCCACAGTCCTGTATTTCTTTTGTCCTGTTTTTCATTTAAAGTCTTCATGGGCCAGCCGAGTGGCGCGATGGTTAAGAACTGGCTTGGGATGCCAGAGGGCCCTGGTTCGGATCCCACATATGAGGGCCAGTGACACTGCCCTCCACAGCTAAGATGCTGAACAACAGCTCAACTTGGAGCTGGGCTGCCGTGAGTCGCCGGTGACGGCGCAGGCTGCAGCCCCTGTGGCAGTGGATTGCCATGGGCTACTGTATGTAGCCAGCAGCCAGCGTGAGCGGCCAGCAGCCGCAGTGAGCGGTCGTCCAGAAGCCGGCGACTGATCTGCCTTGCCCGGGAAGAGCGCAATGATGGTGCCAACTTGGGCCAGTGAAGCAACGTCCTCCACAACTAGACTGAAGAACAAAACGACAGCAACTTGTCTGTTCCCATCCCCCCAATTCCCCAATAAAAATCTTTAAAAAAAAATAAATAAAGTCTTCATAATATAATATTTTTGCTGGAGGACTCGGAAGGGCAACGCAGACTTGCAGTGTAGTCAGTCCCGCCACTCCCCCACCCCATTTCAAAGTCCAATTTTAGGCATTGCCTTAATTTGCGTATTTGTTTATAAACATTTTACAACATTTTTATCATACTTTTCTTAATGTTCTTTAATGTGGAACAGTTTCACAGCCCTTGCCTTTTTTGTTCTTGATGTTGTTGAACAGTGTAAAGGTGAGTTATTTTGAAGGAAGTCCTTCATTTGATTTATTCCGTGTTTAGGTTCAGATCACGTGTTTTGGCACGGATTCCACAGAAGTGGTGAGGTGTCCTTGTCATTGCAACAGAATAGGAGCCGGAGGATGTCCGTTTGTCCCTATGTGGGTGAACTCAACTTTATTCACTAGGCTAAGGTAATGTCTGTCAGATTTCTCTATTGTAAAGTTACTACTTTTTTTTCCGAAGTTAAAAAAGTTTGTTCTGGGGAGATACATTTATTAGTGGGTGTTCTACTATAAAGACGAGCTCCCCCACTTACTTATTCATTCATTTAAATATAAATATTATATCAGTATGGACTCAGAATCCATAAATTAGTTACTAATTTAAATGATGTGGAAATTAACAAACATTTATTTTTTACCAACTTGAGGCATTTTGAACATATCATAGAATTCACCCATTTCAGGTGTTCAAATCAATGATTTGTGACTTTGCTGATTAGTGCAGCCATCGCCATAATTCATATAGAACATTTTCATTTGCCCAGTTGTATCCCTCATACCCATTTGCACTTAACCCCCATTTGCTTCCCAGATACCTAGGCAACTGTTAACATTCTTTCTGTCTCCATAGATTTGCTTATTCTGGGTATTTCATACATAGAATCCCACACATGTCATCTTTTGTGACTGGCTTTTTGCTCTTTCCACAATGTTTACAAGATGCATCCACGCCGGAGCATAATCAGCACTTCATTCCTTTTAACTGGTAAATAGTATTCCATGGTATGATTATGCCACAGTTTGTCTATTCGTTCACTCATAGGTCAACATTTTGGTTCCCAGTTTTAGGTTATTATGAATGATGCTGCTGTAAGCATTCATGTGGTAATTTACAATTGTCTACGTGGATGAGCAGCGTCCAGGCCACCCTTTCCTGTCTTTTTTTCGGCCTTCACAGGCACTTCCAGGCATTGTGCTGCCTTGCTGGGATCTGTATCACTCAGGACTCTGCACATTCCCAGAAGTAGGAGGAAGAATGACCACATTCAAGGTGAGTAGGGCTTGCCTTTCTCATTTTAAAAATTCCACCTCATTACTCAGTTGTCACACACTTTTCTTAGGACAACTCAAGCAGAACAACAGGAATTTGAGGACCTCTTGTGCTCCCAGGTCTTACTTTGTCCCTTTTGCGTTTACTTTGCATTTGTTTTTAGTTTCTGTTTTATTTTTATTTTTAATTAAAAATTTTTTTTTAGTTTTTTTTTTTTTTTTAAGATTTTATTGGGGAATTGGGGAAGGGGAACAGTGTTGGGGAGTTGGGGAAGGGGAACAGCTAAGTTGTTGTCCTTCAGTCTTAGTTGTGGAGGGCGCAACTAGCTCAGCTCCAAGTCCAGTCGCCATCCAGCTGCCCATTGGCAGCTGGTGGCCACTCAGCTCAAGGTGCCGTGTTCAGTCTTCATTGTGGGTGGGCACAGCCCACCATCCCATGCAGGAATTGAACCGGCAACCTTGTTGTTAGGAGCACATGCTCTCACCAGCTGAGACATCCTGCCACTTGTTGGCAGCTCAGCGGCAGCTCAGCTTGGGCGCAGCTTACTGGCCCATGTGGGAATTGAACGGGCGATCCTCAGAGCTCACGCTCTTAACCAACTGAGCCACTTGGCCAGCCCCTTTGTTTTATTTTGTTATTATTTATTTTATGGAGTGGAAAAATTCTTAGAAATGAACAATTCTCCCACTTTAGTACTTCCCTACTGACAAATTAGTAGTTTTTTACTTTCTTATACTCATTTCCTCATGTACATTCATAACTGTATTTGTATTCATGATATACAAATCTAATTTTAAATTGTGACTTTTTCCCTCTGATATAATGTTTACTTTTAGTGTTACATCACATTCCCATTGAATTGATGTACCTTTTAATTTTTAACTGCTTCTCAGTCATAGACATTTAGATGGTTTAGGAATTTTACTATTTTTTTAAAATTTATTTTTATTTTTCAACTACAGTTGACGTTCAATATTATATTAGTTTCAGGTGTACAGCATAGTGGTTAGACATTTATATAATTTATGCAGTAATCCCCCGACTAGTCTAGTACCCACCTGACACCATACATAGTTATTACCATATTATTGACTATATTCCTTATGCTGTACCTTACATCCCTATGAGGAATTTTACTGTTTGAATCAACACTGCAGTGACAGCTATCTTACATAAAACCTTTTCCCCCAAAATCAATTCTAAAAGCAGTCTTCCAATTTTTGGTCCCATATCAAATTTGATATGTGTCAAGTTGGCTTTTTTCTAGGTAGAATATCCAAGTATAAGCAGAATATCCAAATATCCAAAATACAACACAGCAGACTCTCACTGCTGCTTCACACAAATATTATTGAAGGTTTTCACACAGGAGAGCTAGATTCCATCTTTCCCATGCCTGAGTTGTGCCCTGTGTGCATTTTACTTATTGGTCTTTTTCTGTTCTTTTATGTATTAACTAGTTTGACCAAAGGAATAGGTAACCTTATTTTAAAATGTCCAGAGATACTAGAACATTTGCCTGTAACTTGCATTGTGCTACTGCATTTACTCCTCAGAGCAGCTGAATGAGGAGATTTGGGTCTTATCTTCATCTTAAACATATGAAATATGAACAACCTGCTCAGATTCCCACAGGAAACCAAGGACCAGGAATGGTAGCATAGAGATGCTCAGCGCTGCCGACACACAAAGACATCACTTGGCACTGTCATTGTGTAAAATCTTTAAACTCTTCTGTGGCGAAAGACACCTTACATGGTATTACCAGAAAAAATAACAACCTCGGGCAAAAATATTTACCACACGAATGCCAAAAAAAGACAAAATCCATAATAGGAAATCTTATGCATAGATAAAGAAAAAAAACCATTGGAATATGAACAAAGGACATGAACCAGGCATGTTTAAAAGAAGAATTAGAGATGGTTAATAAACATTTGAAAAGGTGAAGATATTCACTTAAATAAGTGAGAAAAATAAATCATTCTTCCAATTACCAAAACCATGGGAAATTTTATAACCTCCTTTTGGCCGTTGGGAGAATCAGGGTGCTTGTATTCTTTTGAAAGATTTGGGAAATAGGAAAAAATTGGGACAAAAATCTGCTATTGTATGATCCTAATTTTAAACGTGCTTATTTTATTTTAATTTTTATTTACAATTATTTTAAATAATTAGGAAAGTTAAGTCTACATAAAATGATGTTCTTTGCAAGATGAGTTATAATGGGACAATATGTAAATAAAACTCTTAATTTAGAACAGGTAAATATAGATCTTAAGTTCCCTGGAATAACAGAGATGAAATAGGTATTAATAGTGATAATAAGAAATAAGAATAATAGCAAATGTTTATTAGGCACTTAGTCAGTGCCACACACACACTGTCCCAAATGCTACAGATAGACCCTTGCTTAACCTTTGAAAGAATTCTGTCATATAAGGACCATTATACGTAGAGGAAACTCAGGCATGTAGGCACACTTGTCCAAGGTCACACAGCTAGGAAGGGAGAGACCCTTGGGATGCTTGCTGAGACATGCTGGCTCCAGAGCATGACCCTGATGCTGCAATTAAGAGATGTGGTGTGTGGCATGAGATCACACAGGATGACCTACATAGCTGTGCCCCATAGGTTACCAAACGCTTGTTCGTTTGACAGACATTAAAGAAAAATGATAGCATCTAGGATTCATGTGTGTGAGAGGAAGAAGGTGGGTGTTATCAAGTATGTTTGGACTAAATTACTAAACGTTTCTGGGGGCATTTGGCAGTAATCACTGAAAAGTAAAACATGTGTAGCCCAGGATGCATCTTTAGGGTTCCTGGGGTCCTTGTAAGTAGACTCAATGAAGGCACAAAATAAAAGGGGAGGACTGTTGTCGTGGCCGCACTTTTGATGCGGCTGAGGAAAGGTGTGGCATTGGCAGGATAGATGGAGAAGGGCTGGGAGGTCTATAGGTTGATGTAAGGCCCTCACACTCTGGCACCCCCTCCACCCATCCTCCCCACCCTCTCAGCGCTGTCCCTTTCCAAGTGGTGATTGATTGTGAAACTGAGATTATGTGTGTGGTGTTGTAGGAAGCGGTGACGTTCAAGGACGTGGCTGTGGTCTTCACGGAGGAGGAGCTGGGGCTGCTGGACTCCGCCCAGAGGAAGCTGTACCAGGATGTGATGCTGGAGAACTTCAGGAACCTGGTGTTAGTGGGTGAGGACAGGCGCCCTCTCTAGCTGAACGCCAGCTCCCTGGACTGGCTTTGTGTCCTCAGGTGTTCAAAGCTCTAGGGGTCTTGAAACGGTCGCCTGCATTCATGGACCTGACTTTTGTACTAACAGTTTTTAATGAAATAAAATTAGGTAGAAAATTCCAGATTGTTAGGAAGAACAGAATGTGTTGCAGCAAAAACTGTGGCCAATCACGTGACTGATGTAAGAACCAGTGGGAGGAGATTTAATGAAAATAGACATTGGTTAGAAATAGATGTTCGTAATACATTTTCATGCATATCTGCCTGGGACTTGAGATATTGGTATTTCTTCAAATAGGTGATGCTTTTTATAATCATTTGAAAAACACTGGTTTTGATTAATTGATCAGTATACAGTAGGAATTTTAAGTTTCCAGTAAATTGTACCTTTAGTGCGTTCATTTTAAATACGTGACTACGTGATCCCAGGACGTCACCTCTTCAAACATGATATATTTCACTTAGAAAAGGAAAAAAGGCTTTGGATGATAACAGTAACCCAAAGGGAAGGGAAATCAGGTAAGAACCAAGCCAGTGGGAGTCCTTGTAGATGTTTTCCCTGTGCCTTTTACTGCTCTCCACCCCTTTCGCCAACATCTTATCCAAATCACTAGTTCTCTCTCTTGAATTATTTCATCTGCCTTCGTGCTGGTTGCCTGCTTCCACTCTTCCCCTCCTCTGGTCTGTCATCCACGTGGCATCCAAAGGAGCCCTAGGAAATATACATCAGATTGCCATTCTCTGTTCAAACCCCTTTATGGCTTCTTATTTTTCTTAAAACCTCTTAAAATGGCTTCTAGCATCCTCCATGGTCTGTCGCACCTCACTCCCTCTCTGAGCACATCTCTGACCCTCTGCCTCTTGCTCCATCTCTTCCACCTGCCTTGTCCTCCCTGCTGACCCCCAGACCTGCCAGGGAGGCTTTATTGCCTGTGGCTGCCATAACAAATCACCACGACATCATGGCCTAAAACAGCACACATTTATCTCACAGTTCTGTAGGTCGGACGTGTGGCCCGGTTCTTCAAGGTGTTGGCACAGTTGCATTTCTTTTTGGAGGCTCTAAGGGAGAATCTGTGTGTTTGCGTTTTCTGCTTCAAGAGGTTCCCCACATTTCTTAGCTTGTGGCCCCCTTCCTCCATCTTCTCAGCCGAGTGCTTCTCTCTGCCCACTCTTTTGTAGTCACATTTTCCCCTTCCACTTCGAAGGACCCTTTCAGTTGCATTGAGCCCACCTGGATAATAGAGGATCGTCAGCTGGTTATCAACCTTAATTCCCTTTTGCCAGGTAACCCGATGTATTTTAGGTTCCAAAAATTAGGACTTGGATTCTCTGGGTCACACTTTATACTGCCTACTACAGGTACTTCTGCCTCAGAGCTCTTACTTGCTTTCTCTCTGCCAGACATAGTCTTTCACCTAAAATCCTGTTTCCTCCTTATTTCATTCAGTTCAGTTTAATTTCATGAGAAAGGCCTTCTCTGATCACCCTGTGTAAAATACCATCCTTTGTCTGCTCCCCTTATTCTGCCTTTTATTGTGTCTGATGTATTTTTGTTTATTTGCATATCATGTCTCTCTTCGCATTGGAGTATAATCCCCACGAGTGAGGCATTTTGTCTGCTTTGTTTATTGCTGTATCCTCAGTGCTTAGAATAGTCTGGTATGTGGCAGGTGTCTGTAAATATTTGTTGACGGAGCGAATGTGTTAATGGATGTGTCCATGGGTAATGGCGTTAGCTCTAGGTCGTGTGCAAACCATAGTGAACGAAGGATGTCGCAAAACATTTGTTGTCTCTGACGAATACCTAACCCAGTTACTTTCTATTTCAATTGCTTTCTTGGGTGTCCTTGGTGTGAATGCATGTTTGTGTGTGTTCACTTGACTCACATTCCAGGGAAACTTGTAAGTGTTGTGGTTGTCACCAGACTGAGTAACACACGTTCCCTGTGGCTTTCCTGGAGCCTTCCATGGGGGGCGGGGGGCATATTCATTTCTGGGGAGAGCACTTTGGAATGAGGATTCTGATGTCTAATTCTCAGATAGCTACCCCACACAAGGATAAAAGATCTGTTTCCTACAGTGTCAGATAGTCACCAGGTTGCAAGCCACCTTTCCCATCTGCAGCCCATTCACCTCTTTCAAAGTGCCGATCCACGTCACTGTCCCCAGGTTTCCCCTTCCTGTCTCTGAGGGAGGGAGAAGATTTAAGATGATTGAGAATGACGTGAGACACACACCTGAATGTCGCCTATATCTCTGGTTCAAAAATCTGTTGTTCCTTTGTTTTATACAAAATTAGCCATTTAACAAATGTTAAAGAATATAGATTTCATCCAGTTTTCCCTTGATTTATATAAAGACTTGGTGTTTTTCTTTGTTTGTTTGTTTTTTTAAGATTTTTATTGGGGAATTGGGGGAAGGGGAACAGACAAGTTGCTGTCATTTTGTTCTTCAGTCTAGTTGAGGACGTTGCTTCACTGGCCCAAGTTGGCACCATCATTGTGCTCTTCCCGGGCGAGGCAGATCAGTCGCCGGCT